TGGAGTAGAAAGTTATATTCCCATATAAAAGATGAGAATGATGTCATCCAATGTGCACATTATCCATTCTGCAGGGAATGAATTTTAATGTATAATAAAATATTTTTTGTTAGTTTTGCATCAAAAAAAAATGAGAATTAAATTCCTGTGACCATTAATGCAGTGGATCCCTGGGAGGTCAAAGAATCTCCATGGCACATCAAAAGAGCACCAGACTAGGAGTAATGAGTCATGAGTTCAAATCCAAGCTATGTGACCTTGGGCACAACAATTAACCTCTCTGAGTCAGTTTCCTCATTTCCACAATGAAGAGAATGGTATCTATCTCACAGTAGTTTTAGAAGATTAAATAAATATAAGCCGGATAGAAAACCAGTTCCTCCCAGTATTCACGTTTACAAAATGACAGGCTCTTATACATTGGCTTCTAGCATAAATTGACACTGTCCTTTGCAAAGCCATCACTAGTACTTTTCCCTCAATTTTTCTATTAAATGGAAATGAGTTGAAAAGCTAAAAGGTTTGAGGCTCCCTCTCTGTAACCAGAACCTAGTTTTGACTGGAAACCCTCCAAACCATCTCCATCGTGCTAACAGGGACACACCATCTCATCTCTTTCTTGCCTTCCCCCCATTCTCAATTTAAAGGTGACCATGTTCCACATAAAACCCACAACAGTCCTCTGCTTTCTCTGCTTCCTTGTAAAGTTCTCATTCTGTCCCTCAGAAGGCCCCCAGGTGTGGGATCCTGGTATCTGATGCTACAGAGTTGTCGTCCAGAGGAGAGACCCCAGTCAGCTGGGGTAGTCCCAAGGCTAGAGACGGTGGAGTGGATTTGCAGGAATGCTCCAGCTCTGCATGTGGGAGATGTTTATAACAGCGGCTGCTGGCCGGCCAGGCGCAAGCTTCTGAAGCAGTCAGCCCTCCAGCAAGACCGCTCAAACCGAGTATCTCACCCACGGCTACCTGACTGACCCTGCTGACATCGAATTATGTTATTCATCACTGAGCAAGCGCTTTCTATGTCCTAGACACAAGTGTGAGTAAAACACGGTTTTCAGCTCTCAAGGGTTCACACTGGGAAGATGGACCTGTGAGCAGGTAATTCTAAAACAATGTGGTAAATACAAAAAGAGAATTGTAGGGGGCGCTGTGGGGTGGGTCCAACTCAGGAAGTGGACCTCGCTCAGGTGGGCTGTTCTTTCTGAAGGAGATGACAGCTCAGCAGTCTTGAAAGATGGAGGAGGGGAGGCAGTGAGGGGCCAGATGGGGGTAGAAAGTGCATTCAGGGCAAAAAGGAATTCGCACGCGCAAAGGAACCAATGTGCCAGGATGGTTTATGAAGGCACACCAGGCAGCTGGATAATGCAAGAGCATTACATGAGGGTGGCAAGGGCTGGGAGACGGGCTGGAGCTGCCGGCAGGAGCCAGGGCACAGGGGCCTTGTAAACTGCATTCTGCAGGGTGAACTTTGTCCTGGAGGTAGCAAGCAGCCAACACCTTGAAGGTTTCAAGCATAAGAGTGACTAAGTTTTTATGATCTTTGAATTAGAAGGGTTTTTTTTTCCCCAAAGGGAAACTGCAGGACGGCCTTAAAAGCAGCTGAATTGGGGTGGGGGGTATAGCTCAGGCGGTAGAGCACATGATAAGCATGCACAAGGTCCTGGGTTCAATCCCCAGTACTTCCTCTAAAAATAAATAAACAAATAAACCTAATTACCTCCCCCCACCCCAAAAAAAAAAAAAAAAAAAAGCTGCTGAATTAGGCTTTGGGAGTCCTCGGGTCAGAAGAGCCCCGCCTGAGTCACTCCCGAGGCGAGCACCCAGCTCCTTTGGTCTCCCGCCTCTTCCTCTGCTAAGCCTCTTGGCAACACTGACCTCATAAAAAGGTGATGTGGGCACAAGGTGAGTCAGCATGACAGAGTGCTCGGCAGCAGCCAGAAGTCCACGCTGAGTCCCGAGCATCTTTCTGCAGCAGCAGGGAACTTGGCGGGGACCTTGGCGGGGACCTTGGTTCTGAGGCGTCGGGGTGGGGGGTTGCGGGGGAAGGTTTGCTGCAGTGTGCTCCCAAGCCCGCCAGCATCGCATCAGGCAGCTTCTCCCTCATCCCCTCCTTGACTCCCTCTGAATCCCCCCTGGTTCCTGGCTGACTTGACCTGGCATTGGGGTGGGCAGGGGTGGGCAAGGGTGGGCGGCACAAGCACATCTTGCAGAGAAAGGCATTCTACCGGCTGTGCCCAGCCCCTGGACCACTCCCACCGCCCCAGCTGGGAACTCTGGCCTCTTCGGAACTGCTGCACCTCTCACCTCTCAAGCTGCCGTCTGGAAGTACCCTCTCTTTCTCCTTCTTCCTTCTCCCATCTTACCTCCCCAGTTCCATTCCTCATTACCCAGGGCCCATGTGAAGGTTCTGGCCACTTCTTCTCTGCTGAATGAGTCATGCTCCTTTGGGCTCCTTCAATAACGGCATAAATGGCTCCCCACCCCCACCCCAAGCCTTCCTTGATGACTCCTTCCTACCTGGCCTCTCCCTTCCATTACTCCTCTTTATTCTGAGCCCTTGAGTAGACTGTCACCTACTCACTTATACTCATTCAGCTGCTCCGACCACTTCCCACACACTAACCCTTGCGTCCGCCATGCGTCTCTCACTCGGCATGCCTCCTCCGCTGGCAATGCCCTCCTCGTCTCCCTTCCAAATTCCGCCTCATCCTTCCAGGCACAGCACGAACACCACCTTGACCCTAAGCTCACCCCTGTCACCCCCAAGACAGAAGAAGTCTAATAGGACTTTGTTTACCTTTTTTAACTGTTTTGCTTATGTCATAATTACAGCTAGGACTCATGGGCCAGGCACCTCTCAAACAACTTTATAGAGCATAACTCATTTAGTCTTCAAATCCACCTTGTTATTACCTCTCAGTTAGCCTGCCCAAGTTTCAGAGTTTACTGAGACTTGAACCTACACAGCATGGCTCTCATCAGAGGTGATGCCACCTCTCCACCCAGCAGCATGCTTCACCTGCAGACCAGAAAGCCTTTGAGTTCCAGAGCTACGCTCTGTACCCAGCACCCCAAGTACCTGGCACATGAGGTTGACTACTAAATGTGGTAGTTTTGGATTTCACTGAAACCTGTTCAGCAGGCCTCAAGTGTATGTTCTGTCTCCCCAAGCCATCCATAAGATCCTCAAGGAGACAGGCCCACAATCACATGCATAATGGGGTATACCCAGAGAGCTCGAGGGGTGCAGTTGGGGGGCAAACTAACTTTAGATGAATCTACACTTTCAGTGTGTATAATTCACAAAGGCTTTTTCCGACGCCTGATCCCATAGGTCTTGACATCAACAGGATGGGGAGAAGGTAAGGAGGCAGGTGTAGATGGCTTGAGACCTGATCAAGGTCTGCGGGCTAGAAATAATTGAATGAGATGACAGAAATGACAACCCACAGCTCTGAATGAAACAGCTGAAAGCCGGGCCCCTGTTCGCAATGTGGGTCTGGGAAGCTGTGGCCATCAGGAATGGGTGAGCTGACAACTTCAGTAGATAAATTCAGAATGCATAGGTCTTCGGACTCTTCTTGAGAATGGTCGTGTGGCTGTGGGGTGAGAGCATGAGCTGAGGGGCCGGATGGCTTGAGCTCAGGATCACTTCTGCCACTTACTACCTGTGTGACTTTACAAATCTCTCAAGCTCAGTTTCTTCATCTGTGAAATGGGTTTAAGAACATGTAGCTCATGGTGTTCTAGTGACAATTAAAATGAGATCATTTACGTAAAATATTTCTCAGCACCCAGGAAGCATGTAATAAATGGTGAACATTATTCCTATTATTAACTGTAAGGGGTCCACACAGATATTTTATAATAGTACCAGCTCATTCTATGCGATTCTAATGTTTTCATTAGCTTGATTTAAAACTAAGCAGTGAGCAGCACCAGACATACTGTGTACTTTTGTATGAATAAATTAATCATATCACTTGGGGGTGTGTTTTAAAAATATTTGCTAAAAATAGGTATATATTTTACTATCATTATCAACAAAATTTAATGCGGCACTTAAAAAAAAATGGGCGGGCTGAGACCTCAGTCCCTCCCTTAGCTAGGGTGGCCTTGGTAGCTGGGGCATGGGAGCCTGGCTGGATGTTCTAGAGAGCAGAGGTGGGCCAGGATGCGTTAGGGAAGTTCAGCAGGGCCTCTGGCAGTGTTTGGTCTCTCTCACCAGACAGAACAGAAAACCCTAAGAGATGATAGGGTGGTCAAGCCGTCTGAGCATATAGATACAAAGAGTCAGGAAAAGCTGGTCTGTCCTTCCCACTGGTTGGAGGGGATCGACACTTCTGTACTATATGTAACTATCTCATCGCCTTTCTAAAACCCTGTACCTTTACTGTCCTAACTCAACACAACTTCAGATCAAATTTACTCAATGTCCCGTGCAGACCGGAAGGCTTTTCAGGCGCAGGTGGCCTCTGCAGAAGGGAAGCTTTTCCCCAGTAGGAAGGGCAGTGAACTTCTAAGCCCAAAAGACCTGCCTTATCTTCCCCCGAGTCTCTTCGCCCCTCTGAGCCCTGATCTCCTCTTCTGTAAAATGGGCAAGGAAATGCTCAGTCTCCCACCCACCCACTCCCACAGGACTGTGGTACAGGCCTGCGAGCTCCCAGCCCTGGCTTCCCGCAGATCTGACGCGCCTCCTCGGTCTCCGTCTCCTGCTCCTCACCATTCAAGAAATGAATGGGACACTGCAGATGCCCACACTGACGTGCAGCGAGAACCACCTCCCACTGGGGACCTCAGGCCCGGCTCGTGCCTTGGCTTTGACGAGGGCTGGGGCACGCAGTCTCTCCGGGGCGCAGTGGGCCGATCGCAGACCCGGGTTTCCCAACCTTGGCGCCAGAGGCTGGGGCTGCCCTTCCCCGCCCTGTCGCTCGCGGTGGCTGCGAAGCGCCCTGGAAGGCCAGCCCAGCGGCCGGGCTTGGGAACCGCCTGGCTTACCTGCGGCTCCACCAGCCAGCGCTGCTCGGCGCCCAGGGGCGCGGGGCGCGCGGCGCGGAACGCCGAGTACACGGGGATGCGGTCCCGGGTGCTGTACAGGGTGGCGAAGCGCTCGGCGCCCCCGGAGCGCTGACAGATCTTCACGTGGGCAG